AACTGATCACTTGAAATTTCAAGTCCCAGAACAGCCTAAAGAGCAAGTCTATGTGTTCTCCAAAATTAAAAGCACATACAGACGTTCTCTGACGCAAACACTAATCACACCCAGTGTCCCTCAAGTCCCATCTGGGCGTACTGTAAGGACACGAAAAAGTGTGTCATGCATTTTAGAACTGCACACATGCTCACCAGAGACATGACCTCATCAGGATGATTTACGACACCATGTCAAGTTCAAAACACCATCTCGTCACGAAATGCTAGATGCAGTACATCAACTGCAATAAGTAGCAGAGTTCAATTAGTTCCATTCTGAATGAGAACACGTGATCGTTTCCATGACTGAAATGAGAAACAGGCATGGGCAAAGAACCTCTAGTTGACAACTTCTGATGTGAAACATCTTGTCAATTTCAGAGTGGTGTGTACCTCTCACTTGCCGACTGGCCTCTCCAAGGACGTGGGTTTATACCAGTAAGACACCACGTGCCTACAATGGTAGGAGAAAATAACAATCTATCAAAACAAAAGCCAACCACAGACCTTCTAAAACCTGACAATATGGCCACTCAGCAAGAAGAGAGGCAAACTGCATGTGCTATTTGGGTAAAACACATTTTCTTTATATTCCTTGCCTAGGAACGGTGTCCTTTCTAGCTCAAACATTCTGCAGTTTTGTGTGTAGTGTCAGATTTCTTAATTTGAAGAGATCCCAAAAAATGCCACAGAATAAACATCACCTGCGGACATTTATCAAGATGCTGCTGCTGCTGCTGGAGTGAAGCTGACAGAAAGTGACAACATCCTCCTCAGCTGTCAGGCCCCAAGCCCAGCACACTTCACAAGCACATGGCTTTGTCCGCCAAATGCCCTGGATATTTTTTCCCTGTGGTAACTTTCCACAATTTTGATTATACTAAAAACGATTTGAAAATTATTCAAGAGTTCATGGTTTTAATACAACAAAAAGTGAGACATAAGCAGTAACCACAGACGTGGTCAGTAGAGGAGCTCTGATCCCACACAATCAGGAAAAGGAGATAGCTGTATGCATGCAATGTACAGACTCATTAAGCACTGGACGTGAGTTTCCAGTTCACACAACAGGATTTACTTTCCCTCCCAGTTCTGGAGAGCAAACACCCAAAACTAAGATGTCAGCAGGGTCGGCTCCTTCTGGAGGCTCTGAGGGAAATCTGCTCCGTGCGCCTTCCTTCGTGTGGTGGGGGGCAATCCATGCCACTCCTGACATTCCCTGGCCCCCGGCTACATCTTTCCACTCTGTGCCTCCATCGTCACATGACTACCTTCCCTGTGTGTCAGTGTCTGTCTTTCACAACCTTCCAACTATGGACACTTGTGATACTGGATCTAAAGCACACCCTGCTCCTGCACCTCCTCACCTTACCTAATTACCTCTGCAAAGTCACCACTTCCAAATCCTAACCTAATAGGTTCTGTGTGCACATGAATTTGGGGAAGACCCTATCAAGCCTAGTATACAATGGTGTGGTCACAATTTAATGTTTGATTTTAAACATTTAATGCATGATTTTAAAGTAGGTAAATGCACACTTATGCCTCAGTCTTCACTGGCTTCCATCTCTTGTGACCATGCCTGGTGTACACAGGGTTCCCAGTCAGTGTCTGTTAACTAGTGAACCAATGAGTGCTTGATGCAGAACGGAGCCCTTTCCTAGCGGTACAGAGCTAGCAAATGAGAACATCTCTTACATGAACCCGGCCACCATGCCCAAAGTCAGAAATGACTAGCACACACTAAGGTGGTAAATAAAGATGGGAGTCTGCAAGGCAATCTCAGCGAAGAACCTTTAATGTCTAGAATGCTTCCTCATCCCTGAGGTTTCTCATCTACATTTCATCCAATAGCAATTATTAATGTACTGACTCTGCTTTGATGGCCTTCCAAGAACCCCACCTAGTTAGGGAGAGAGCACCATCTCTCCTTTCACAGCCATGTATAATCAGCTCATGTGGAAGGTGGAAGGGTAAAGCTTATGTGTCATCTGGACTAGGTTAAGGGACGCCCAGACCACTCATAAAGCACTATTTCTGGGTATGATACCGAGAGCTTGTGAATTAAAAGTAAAGCGTATTTACCCTCACGAATGTGTCTGATTCAGCTCATTGAGGGCCTGGACAGAAAAAGGCAGAGGCAGGGTGAATTCCTCTCTTTTTGAGCTAGAACATCAATCTTCTACCTTCAGACATATGAACTCCATGTTCCCAGGCCTGAGACTTGAAGACACCCGCAGTGCCTAGCCCAGATCCTCAGGTCCCAGATCCTCAGCCTCAGACTGGGGTCACACCATCAGCCCCTCTGATTATCAAGTCTTCGGGACATCACGTCCTCCACAATCCTGAGATAATTCCCTTAAACAAGCCTCTTTATTCTTGCATTTGTTCATTGTTTCAAGAGCCCCTGCACAAATACACACATACAGTTGGAATCAAGTGTGTAAATAAATAAACCAGATGATGGATAAGCAAATTGTGCAAATGATGAGCGAAGCCACAGGTACCTGGGTGTCAGCTCCACACCCAGGCAGCTGATGACAGTGACTGACAAGTCATGGCAGCACTGGTAAGCAAAAGCCAGGTGAGAGACTTCCTGCCACCCCGGGTCCAAAATGCATTACTGGACTCCAGAGTGGAGAAGACAAGGTATAAGGGAAACTTTGTAAAGATGAGCCCTTTGAGTTGTATTTTTTAATGAAGTGAGAGGTTTCCAGATTACCAAAGATGGGAAAAGGTTTTCTGATCAGAGCACAGAGCTATGAACTAACCCTGCAAGTGTATACCATAAACTCCCTATCAAGCAAAGGAAGTAGAAAATGCCAGGCCAGGAGGCAGAGAATTCAGCAGGGGCAGATCAGCACTTGCGCTGCAGTTTAGAGCCTCATCCCCACAGCTAACAGGGCAGAGGGGCAAGGTGGAGGGAAGGACAGCCAGCTTGGCAGGCACCACACACTGCGGTTCAGGCTGCTGGCAGCAGGTGTGAGAAGCAGTGAATGGAGTCTAGCCAGTAAGGCCGCTGGCCTGATAGTGACATGGAGATGGAGGCGATAAAAGAGAGGGAGGTGGCTTTCTGAGACCTCCAGGGTACCAGCGTCATGCTTCTGTGCCCTGCAGAGCCATTTTCCCTGCTGGACTACCGTTCCTACTGCCTAAAGTGCCTCTGGGGCTCAGAAACTATCACAGAAATGAATGAGCACTTCCTGTCCTCAGAAGACAAAAGCATATACATGAGAAACGTGCAACAACGTACCTAAAGACTAAAGTCAAAGTTTTTCGTTTCGGTGGGTGCAGCATCACATGCCTATAATCCCAGGACTCTGAGAGGCTGAGACACGAGGACTGCACGTTAGAGTACTGCTTCAGTAACTTAGCAAGATCTCAAACAAAAAAATATAAAGAGCCGGAGCTCTAGATCAGTGTGGAGGCCTAGGGTTCGATCCTCAATATGGTCATGAAGAGGTGAAATACTTTTGTTCACCACCCTAACCGGTACGGCTAGAGGGGATGTTCAGTAATAAGAACAAGCCTCCTGGACAACAGCAGAAAAGGAAGGAGGGCACCTGGTTCATCACTTACTGGCCACCTATTAAGTGCCAAGAATTCTTCCAAATTTGGGAGGGCTTCCAGGTGAAACCAAACCAAAAAGTTTGCTGATCATACACCGTGGGCACTTGTCAATGCTGTAACTTCCCATCTGTAACATTATCTTTGTTGCTCCCACATTTTCTGTGTCTTAACAACACTACAAAAAAAAACCTTAACATCTGTAAACTTTTCCCAGAAAAATGGAAGAAACGTGCTTCACGAAGCTACTAGAGAGACACACGGTGGGAAGAAAAACGTAAAGTCCCAAATACATGCCAGCCTGGTGACACTCACATAATTTCAGTATTCTGGGAGGCGGAAGCAGGATGGTACGTTCAAGCTCACCTGGGGAAATTTACCTAGACATTGTCTCAAAATAAAAAATAAAGAAGGGCTTGGGATTTAGCTCCAGTTCAGAGACGCTGGGTTCAATTCCTGTGCTACAAAAATTAAAATTAAAATTTTAAGAAGTTTAAAATCCCAGAAGCCTACGGGTAACAGGAAGCCTATGGGATACACGAAAGGCCATCTAAGACCAAAGCACAGTTGTGAAGATGCAAATGTTGCTCCCTAACAATGCCCTTCAGCTCTCACAAGCCTTCTTCTCATGGGACAGCTTAGTTTAGCATAATTCGTGAAGCTCACAGATATGAAAAGTCATAACCCCATCTTCCTCTGCTGCACACCAACAACCAAGGGAATCGGGTGCAGCTGAGCTGCAGGAAGATCTCCATTCTTCCAGACCTTAGGCCTCTGCAGTGAACAAACCAAAGTCCTTGGTAATGTGGCTGATGCACCTTCACCAGGAACAACTCTGCTTCAGTGTTCATTCCTTATGATTCAAACAAAGCTGTTCCCGAACTAACCTCAAGAGAATATAGGAGTTTCACTGGTCCATCCAGTCTTTACCAAGTGACCATGGCTTGCCACTTAAGGCTGCTGTGACGGACAAGATTTTTACACGCATGTGGGGTCCCCACACTGCATCAGGCTTTTATTACCCTTGTAGTTGGCGGAGCCCAAGGGATCAAAGAGAGAGGCCAGGGAAGCCAGGGCATGGCCAAGCAGGTCAGGGTAGCAGCTATCTATCTAACGTACCATGGAAGAATTCTGTATTATTAACTAAGAGATGAAAATGGGCAGTGGGACAGATGTGCACAGGGTACAGTCCATGACCTTGACCCTAGCCCCCAGCAGAGCTAATAACCTTACAGAACAATCAAATCTTTGATCTCACTCTCCTTACCACAGTATCCTACCAGCTGGCTTCACCTGCCATGATGATTCTTACAACCTTCATGTTTACAGACCCTACAAGACTGAGTCAGTGCCAGCGCTCACCCTCCCCCACCGCCAAGTTAAGATACTCACCCAGAAAAATCTGTAGTGAGAATGCCATAGTGGAAGATGTATATCCGGCTGATGTGGCATATTGTAAGGTATCCCATTGCTACAAAAAAGGTGTATCTAAAACCAAAAGCACAGATGACTTGGTTATTATGCATAACAATAATGCACTCAATACATGCTCCCTTCTCTCTCCCCCTCACCCTCCAACAACACAGAGGTCACCAAGTCTTCACTGCCCCGGCTCTGTCTCAGTCCGTCCCCTCTCCTCACCCTTCCACCCGTTCTTCTCACCTGGACCACACTGGATGCTCTCAGCCCTGACAATGGAATCATCTAGGCAGCCTCATGCACTACGGATGCCAGGGCCTTGCCCCAGACATCCCGGGTCACTTGCTACCAGGTGTACCAGGCAGGTATATTTCAACCGGCCGCCAGGCCTGGGAACCACTGACCTGTGAGATCTGGCATGGGGTTCTTTTCTTCACAAATCATCACATTTTACATGATGATCTTGACAAAATACAAATCAGCACTACACTTCTGACCCCTTCTCTTGGCTCCCATTCCCCTGGATTTCTTCCCACGCTTCTGGCTAATTCTTCCAAAGCGCACTGATAACCTTCTTCCACCTACTCTTTCTTCTGCCTACTCCTTCTTCCACCTACTCCTTCTTCCGCCTACTCCTTCTTCTACCTACTCCTTCAGTGTGAGATGCTGCACTCAGGACCTGCCCTACTCATGCCTCAGGCTTCACTTACCACTTTATTAGTCAATACCCCCGCCTGTCTTCAGAGGCAGACAGACTGGACACAGTATAAATGAGTAATGCACACATAAGCCGCAAGCACAGACACCTACGAGTACTCACATGCACACTCTTGTGTGCAGTTTATAATCAAACTGCAATTATAAATATATGTGACAATCTGTGCAGTGGGCTGAATGTGTCCCCTTTTCACCCCCTCAAAATAAAACAACTGAAATGTTGAAGTTTAACTCCAGTGCAATGGTATCAAGAGGTAGAACTTTGGGGAGGTGAATGAGCTATTAAGAGTGAAGTCCTCGTGAATGGGATTAGCTCCCTTATAAAAGGGATCCCAGAGAGGACTTTCCAGCCTCTTTCCACTGTGTGAGACTACAATGAGAATTTGGCCATCTGACATCCAGAAGGAAGTGCTCACCAGAACCCAGCCGTACCAGCTGACCTCTGAATTCCACCCTCCAGAGATATGAAAAATGTGTTGTTGTTTACAAGCCACCTTGCTACAGGACACTGCCGCAGCAGCCCCAGCACATCGAGGCTCTCTGATTACCGACTGTCTTTCTTGATTGCAAGTTCCGTGAAGACAGAGCTGGCCACGTGCATCTTGTTGGCCAAGTCCACCTATACTGTGCTGAGTGAATAAACAACTCTGGAAAACGAACCCAGAGCTCAGCTTAGGGTCACGCCTCACTGCCACTGAGCTCATCCTACTCCATCTGTCCAACCCCATCCCCTGCTCCCCGCACTCCCACTGTCTGCATTTTTCTAGTGCTACATGCTGACTTATGTAATTGTCATATTAAACATTATCTATCTAGTCACTGGTTTCTCCAGCTTATTGGGTATCCCAATCACTGGCTTAACACAGACAAGAGGTTTGGTTATGTTAAAAGGAATAAACTGAAATGAATACATATATTAAACATTTTAAATGATTCAGGAGCCCATCAGATACATATACAAATTCTGAAGACAACTTTTTAAAAATATATTTGGTACAGGGTCTCACTACGCAGCTTGGACTCATAGTGATCCTCCTGTTTTCAGCCTCCCCAGCGCTGGGATCACAGGCGCATGCCACCAAACCCAGTCTAGGTGGTCAGCCTGGTATACCCGGGGTGGGAAGGGGCTGGCAGACATAACTTTTAATGCGTATCATAAAACAGAGAAGATGAATATATTAATATTATATTGAAATTCACATATTACATTAAAATATCACAAGAGGACTAAGTCAATTTAAGGAATGGTATAGTAAGTAAATAAATGTTAATTCAATAGCAAGAGAGAGACAAGAAGCAGGGAGTCCAGCAAACTCTTAAGGCCGTACATAACCTTAAGTTTTCTTTACCGTTATTTAAGATGATGCCTGCTACACCTGAACTCTGAAGGCTGACATATGGAGGACTTGGTCTACAGTGCAGCAGTGTTCAGTGGTGAGGTGGAGGCATAGCTGCTAAGTTCTGGCTGAGTGGGCTGTTCGGGGTGGAGCAAGGACTAAGCTGCTGGCGCAGGAGCCCTTAGAGCAGTACCTCTCTCCACAGCCCCCTCTTCTTTGACACCCCTCCTACCGTGCCCTTCCTCTCGGAGGTTCTTCCTTCCCGCAGGAAGAAAAGCAGTGTAGCCGGGGGAACATGGCCCCACCCCATGAGCCAAAGTACATCCTTCCTCCCCTAAGCTATTTATACCAGGGATTTTGTCACAGCTACAAAAAGCCGACTAGCACAAACTTACAGGTTAGTATAAGTTAAAAATCCAAAATCTAAAAAAGCTCTAAAATCTGAAACTTTTTCTTTTTTTTTTTTTTCCTGTGGTACCAGAGATCAAACTCAGGACCATGAGCTCGCCAGGCAGGTGCTTATGCCACTGAGCTATCTCCCCAGCGGTGAAATCTGAAACATTTTCAATATCATGTTGGTACTCAAAACATTTCCAATTTTGAAGATTTCAATTTTCAAATGTTTGAATTTGGGATGCTCAACCATTGAAGTCTAGGTAAATAGTTCAAAAATAAAAAATTAGAAATCTAAAACTTCTGTCCCAAGCGCTTCAGAGAAGAGATACTCAACCTGTACTGTACAAAACGATTGTTGTATGCCTTGGATTCATTCATCTTTTCCAAAACAGAAAGGCAGATAACAACGCAAAAGCCTAAGAAAAGCTCCCTTAAGACTTGAAGCAGGAGCACAACAGAGCAAGACCTGGTTGCCCCAGCATCCCTTCCCTTTCCCCACCCAGTCCACAGCTCCAGGCAGAAGCAAGGGGCAGACTCTTCCAGTGCAGGTGAGCTGCAGCCAGGCAGCTACTTCCCTTTGTCCTCAACAGGAGTCCACCCAGACCTTGGCCTGGCTCTCAGGGTGAAGCAGGCTCCCATCAACTCTTGTAATTAGACCCCAGCTGTCCAGGGTGCGGCAAGAGTGCTGAATCTTCATGCAGTGGAGCACTGTGTTCGTGCCCTGGCCAGGCCTGAAAATCTAAGGAATCCAGGAGTGGTTGAGAAAATAAGCATTCCAGAGGCAGACTAACAGGAGCGCAAACCCCAGCCCTGGGTGGGAAAAGTAAACCATGGTGTGAGAAGTTGAAAGAGGAGTTATTTTAGGGAAGAGGGTGCAGCAGAGATCAATACAGGAGGGATGTATTGACTGGGGGTTGGTCACATGAGTGTGTAAATTTCATCCAACAGTATTTACTCAGCTCTCTGAGCTTTCCTTTCCTCATCTCGGAGAAAAAAACTACATTTCACAGAGCTGAGCTAGGAAGAATATATTTGAAATAATGAAATGAAGTAGTAAGTGATATATTAAAAAAACAGTTGATGTACCAAAATTATGAAATATGTTAAGAAAAATCTGTTCTACGAGTTGGCACAAAGCAGAAACTCCAGAACTGATAACTGTACCATCAGGTTCTCACACTGAGGTCTGTCCTGGGAGACACAAACCACTGCTCCAGGTGCTTCATACATGGTGAACTGAGGCCTGTGACGCCTGCCCAACATAATAGCAGGGAAGAGAGCACAGAAGGTACCCTCAAGAGCTCTCCCCAAATTCCTGAGAAACAGTTAGTTCAGAAGTGGGTACATGGCAAATGGCAGCAAACAGTAATTCTCGCCTCCTCCTCCTCCTCCCAGCCATATGACTGAACCCTTACTCCTGGCTGAGGGAAGTAAAAAAAGAGGAACAATCCATAAAGAATCTTCACTCTTGAAGATATCTCACCTCCAAACTATTATAAACCCCAACCTGTATACAGAGAACTTGTGCAGCCTGTCAAGATCTCCTAACTCCAGTCTAGTGCTTTGTCCATGAGTCGATAAAGAATAACTTTGGATGTTTTTTAGAATTTACACTGAGCCCACCCGTTGGGAACAGTGGCCCACTCTCTTCCCGTCTTACTGGCAACCACACAAGCAAACAGAAGGAGAAGAACGTGCATCTTTCCTTCTGACTGGTATGGAGGAGCTCTCTGCTAGCACAATACTACTGTGATGGAACACTCACTGTCTGTTGTGACCAGCTCAGCTCTGCCACGGCTAGAATATTCCATTCCCAGGCACCAGAGCCCAGGGTCAGCCATGGAACAGGTGTTGAAAATGGGCTACGCCCACCGGCGTAACACAGTCGTAAGGCAGAGCTAAGAAATTACATGTAGGTAGTAGGAAGGGCTTAGCAAGGTGTAACATTGTTATTAATCATTTAATTTTTAAAACTTCAAAGCTTTAATCAGCATTTTGTCATATTTAAGGCACACCAAAACATACATCTTTTAGAACAGCAAAACAGATCTCCTGTTTCCCTTCTGGAAGAAATGATACTATCAAGGATGGCCCTTAGTAGAGAGATGAGTAAAATGCAAATGCTCACAGCTCACTTGAATAACAAGTTGAATGATTATAAAGCTTAAAACCCTGTAAATATATTTTCCTCTTAAAATCATAAACTGGTATCAGATGACCACAAAATTATACACCCAAAGTTAAATGCCAATGTTTTTAAGAAGGAAAACTACTGTCTGGATAGTCTTACTAATCACAGTTTTTCTAAAAAAACAACAAAAGGCAAAAAGCATTTGCTTTTGAGACAAGCTATCAGAAAAGAACTCAGAAAAGGGCAAGTGCCTTTTAAAAGCAACTCATTTATTCATCCCATAAATACTTACTTGTGCCAGGTATTGTTCTAGGTTTAGGGCATGCAACAAGAAGCAAAAGGGAGAGCTTTTGTCCTCATGGAACTTACATTCCAGTGACCCCAGAAGGCAGAGTCAACACTGAATTGTGAGCAGGACCATGGGAAACACAGACAAAGTGAAACAGCTACCCTGGGCATTGCAGTGGAGAATCCAAGCACAGAACCTTCTGGATGGAATTAAGTTATGACTGCACTTTAAACTAAAACATCATAGCAAAAGTCCTTTTTGCTTTGTAAACAGCTTTGCTGTAGAGATTTAAAGTACACAGTTCAATAAGTTTGACACATGCAGTCACACAGAAAACCATCCCCAAATTCAAGACCTTGTGCAACATTCCCTAGAAGTTCTCTTGTGAAGAAGCACGGGAACATAGCCTAGAGAAGGTGATATTCACCACTTGTGGAAAATGGTAAAAGTACATCTTCCTCTTGGAAATATATTTCAAAAATCACACAAAAAGCTCACTTTGCATTGCTCTAATTCTTACCTGTGAATATTGCTTACACTTGCAGTGACCATAATGCCATAACACATTAATACCAGAACAAAAAGATGTATGGAATACCTTTAAGACATAAACAAAGAAATATAGTTCATATTAATGCACCTAATAATATTCATGATGAATATATTTTCATTCTAATATACCTATTGGCTACTCCACCTCAATTCCTAGCCCTATCAAAAAGTAAGAGATCAGTTTACTCACATTGATATAAAGATGTAAACCAAAATTGTTCTGTATAATTAAGATATTATACCTTAAAATAACACCAGGAAATCATGACCTAGTCTGCCAAACACAGCACTAATAATGTCAGGAATCATCCTATAATTGGAACACTACTTTTCTTCATATCTGTATACAAATGATGACCCAGAAAAGGGAGTTCTTTCTTAGAACTTAATTTTTTTCCAAGTACAACACCAAAACCAGGCTTTCCCAGGTCCCAAGACCCAGTGGTTGATTCAAGACTTACCTTTTCTCAAATGTTTGCTGAAGAATTAGGAGCAGTATTCTGATACCCTGAACAAATTCACACATTTTCTGAAGATACAATTCTAGACATGTTTCTCCCTAAAGCTTCTCTAAGAAGTGCTGCTCCCAGATTAACCTAGCAGAAGAAAGTCAAATCTACCAGCGTTAGCATTCTCTATCCACGACAGAATAATTCAAAGTCCCTAAGACTTACACTAAAACTAGGGTTCCACTAGAAATGCAGGGCAGACCCCCATGTCTTCAGCAGGGGTGCTGTAAATACACCCATGTCTGTGAAGGTCAGAAAGGGTTCCTTCTCAGCAAAAATTAAATCTTAAAGCATCCCATTCATAGGATTGTGCAAGTCTACTCTTTTTTCTTTTGGAAAATTAACTACTTTTAGTAGTATGGGTTTTCAGGACATTCACCATGTGGAACTGGTACATCTACACATCTCATCTTACATCTTTTTCCTTCCCCTTCCCTTGTCCTGCCTTTTGCACCCAGGGCCCAAGTCGCCTTCTTATCCCCACGAAGTCCACCCTAGACTTCCTGTCATCTATCTTTTGTTCTTCTCTTTATTTATATGCTGGCTTTCTCATATGAGAGAAACCATGAAATGTTTAACATTTTGTGTCTGGTTTAATCTCAGTTAATATCATGGCCCAAACATGTGTCCATTTGCCTACAAACAACTCAAATGTATCCTTTTTTCTTGCCCAGCAGGACTCCACTGTACATGTACCACATTTTCTTGCTGCATCCATCAGCTGGTGGACCTCTTGGCCACTTCCAAGATTCAGTTATTATGACTAATTTTAAGAAAAAAGTCATTGACATCCACTGAGCAGTCAGTTTATTGGTTCCATTTTCTTACAATAAATACTTTATAATTCATATTCAATTCACATTTTACAACACAATATCTCATAATATTATATACTTCTTACCTTAACTCAAGGCCAAGAACACTGCCATCAAACCCTAAAAATTAGTTCATAAAATTCATACTACTGGGCATGGTAGTACACGCCTATAATCTCAGCTCTTGGGAAGATGTAAACAGGTGGATCACTACGAGTCTGATCTAGTAGTGAGACCCTGAACACCCTGTAGACCCTTCCCTAAGATACAAAAAATAAAATAAAATAAAATTCATACTCACCAGCCAAAGCAAAAAATTACAAAATAAATGCCCAGAATGGTGGCGATTGCATGCCGGACCTCAGAACTTGTTTTCCCAGGATGTAAGTAGATGCGAAACCAGAAAGCAGCAAGCAAGGCGAACAGCTGGCAGGCCACGAAGTTAACCTACGGGGGGACACAGAACAGACACATTTGCTATTTGCCTCCGTGTGAATTCACGTCCATTTTCTCAGTGGCCAGAGCTTGATGAGGCTGCAAAAGGCCCTGGCTCTAACCCTCGCACTGCAAAAATGATCATCTCCCACTCAGACTTGGTGAGAGACAAAAAAATCAGCGTACGTCCATATGACATCAGAAATTATAAGCTACATCTTGGAAACAGCCCAAATGCCCATCAACTGATGAATGGATGAAGAAGATGTGTTTTTGTTTTTGATTTTTATGAGGGAGTATTACTTTGCCATACAGGAGACACTTGAGACATTTTTAGCTAAATGAACATACCCAGAGACCATTCTCGTAAGTGACATAAATCAGACACACATGTGTAAATGCCACATTGTTTCTCTGGTGTGAGAAACTTAAAGTGTAAATAAAAACCAAAATGTATAGCAGACATTGTAAAATAGGAAGAAAATGTTCAAATGGAACAGGGAACTAAGGAGGGGGGAGGAGGAAGGAGAGAAAACAAAAGAAAAAACGGAAACAAAGTTTTTGTAAATAAAAGAGGAAGGGTTGAAGGGCAGGTCCGGAAATGGAAGAAGAAAAGAATCAAGTTACATCATACATAGGTACAAATTCTCCATGATGAACATGATTGATATATATAACTAAAATATATCAATAAAGGCCATCCAGATAGCAGACTAAAGCTCCTCCTTAGGCAGATGCAGGGAGGGGCTGGATCCCTGGCATGCAGTGCTGGCCCTACCCCGGGGGCACACCGAAACAGGCAGTGAGATTGGGTGTGGTGGCACATGCCTGTAATACCAGCTCTTGGGAGGCTGAAAACAGGAGAATCACTATGAGTCTGGTCTGTGTAGTGAGATCCTGTAGACCCTGTACTAAATACATACAGTATTTTAAAATTTAAAAAAATAAAATATACCAATAAAGGGCCAGCCAAATAGCTCAGCGGTTAAGACCAAGGTAAAGCAAGACCATCCAGTAGAAAAGTATGAAGTCGAAATATA